ACACACACACACACACACACACACACACACACACACACACACACACACACACAGAAATACTACTCAGCCATAAAAAAGAATGAATTAATGCCATTTGCAGCAACATGGATGGACTGAGAGATTATCATATTAAGTGAGAAAAGTCAGAGAAAGACAGATACTATATCACTTATATATGGAATCTAAAACAAATGACACAAACAAACTTATTTACAAAACAGAAAGGGACTCAGACATAGCAAACAACTATGGTTACCAAAGGGGAAAGGATAGGGGAGGGATAAATTAGGAGTTTGGGATCAACAGATACATATTACTAAATAAAAATAGATAAACAACAAAGAATTACTGTATAGCACAGGAAACTATTCAATTTCTTGTAATAACAATGGAAAAGAATCTGGAAAAATATATATATATAAAACTGAATTGCTTTGCTGTACATTTAAAACTAACATTGTAAATCAACTTCACTTCAATAAAAAACAAACTTAAAAGAAACCCTACATCAGTTTCTCTTTTTTAGGTTTTTACTATGTGAATTACTCCTGTTTTATAATTAACTCCTGTTTGTTGCATCCTTATTTGCCAGTTGTTTCTAGTGTACTAGTGAATCCTCCAGATATTTTAAGGCCCTCAAGGTTAGAACAGGCACTGGTGCTTGTCTTCTGGTAAATATATTATTTACTGTAGAACTAGACAGATAGTAACTGTTGATTACTTGATTTGGAATTTGATGGATGTAACTTACATTTTTTTTCCCCAGGCCTCTGTCTTTGAAATATTTAAAACTTATCTCTCTCCTCTCTCTCTCTCTCTTTTTTCCCTCCTAGAAATTCATTTTCTAGACAACATTCAACTTGTGAACCTGAAGAATTTTGACCATTCCAAGTCTTAATGCCACACCACTGCTCCAGCCAATTTATACTATGACCGGTAACAATGGCCAGAAGCCCGAAGAATTAAAATGCCAACACCAAACCTTACCTTAACAGCTCTGGTCTCTACTGTTCCCTCGCATTTTAATAGTATTATTTTGTTTTATAACCACTTCTAAATATTCTTGGTTATTTTTCTTTCTTTTTTTTTAATTAGAGAGTTTTGTTTCTGTTTTCTGTTTACTTTGTGTACAACTACCTGCTTTTTCTGACTCATTTTGATCAAATGATAGTGAACAAAGCCAGCCCGAGCTGGTACGGTGCTGTTCACTTGAACAGGTGCTGTTGTGCAGAAAGGAAACTCTGTGACTAATTTAGGTAGTGGCTTTCCTTCTTCCAGATTTCTTCCCATTGAGTTCTTACAAGTAAATATTTACAGAGTTTTCAGATTGCAGTAAATATACTGTATGAGAAAATATTAATGCAGATTAAAAGCATTTCTGACATCATGAAAATTTTCTAATGTTTGAGAATTTGGGGATATTTTGTATATTGAACCCTTTTGACTTTCCAGTCCTGTGACTTTTCACTTTTAGTAGAAAGTCCGGGAGTCTGCAGCCTGGAGAATCAAGAGGAGGTTCATTGACCACGCACTGTGTTTAGAGACCCTCTCGCACCATATGCCAATGTTTCTCAGACACAGGCTCTTCGGCAGCATTCCAGAAACAGGGAGGAAGAGAAAACGATGTCTTCCCCTCGACTAAGTATGCAGGCAGCTTAAAACCTTAGTGCTTTCTTTAACATGTCCAAATTTCAATGCTTTCCATTTGAACACTTGTGTAGACCACTTGCTTTGTATTAAACTTCCCTGTCTACATGTAACACTGACCTTTTGCTAGTGAGCAGGTAGATCTCTTTCAGACAGCGTGATGACTCACACAGGTGTGAGGACACCGGGGAGAGGAGTAGGGCTGTGGTGGTTTTTGATGGTTGTAAGAAAAGCTGTACCATTTAAAGCTGATGCCAGAGACCAGTTAGGGACTGATTAACTGTATTGAACAGTCTTTCCTTTGCTTTTCCCCCTGTATAGTTCTGATGCCAGATTAGATTTCTAGCAGCTTCAAGTTGTATTAAATGATATTTTGCTTTCTGTAATACTGTTATAAAATAAAGTTTGTTTATTCTCTAAACTTGTCACTTCTCTTTTTTACAAAGGTTGAAAAATCTTGAGTCATATCTTCAGTCAGAAGTTGTAATATTTTGTAGAACGTAGCATTTTAAAACTCTGTTACTTGAGTCTCATAATTTGATGTTGCTGCCAGCATCACCTGTTTCAAATGGCCAAAGCAACGTTGAACATTTGCTATAACGTTTGTAAATCTGATTAGGATGCCAGATTCCTTCTCCCAGGTGATAATCCATCCCAGCTTTTACAAATTCTCCAGGAGATATTTTCGCTTGTTTTCTCTGTGTATTTTTTGATTGAGGAAATGTTTTAGCTGGACCGTCTGAAACCTCTGTTTCATATTTTGCTAAACAGTCCACTGGGCCTTAATGTATTGGGCAGAACGGGCTCTGCTGAGCGTGGCGTCCGGGTCTCCCCGGGGTGGTTCCGTGTGCAGCTTTAGCCAAGACACATCAGATGAAAGGCTGAATTTCCTTTCAAAATTGTATAGCAAATGACCAGTAGGGTACATTCCATTTCAAATATTATGTAGAATGTCTTTCCCTAGTTATTTAAAGTGAGTATGTGCAATATAATTTGCATAACTGTCTTTTTGGGGATCTGTTCCCTCTGAATTGTCTCTCACCTTGTGAAAGGTCTTTCTCACTTTCTGTAGAATTACTATAAAAACAACTCCTCTCCAGGGGAGCCTTTCTCAGCAAGCTGAGCCTTAGACATTATGGAACCAAATGTGACTCTGTAAATTTATTTTTCATCAGAAAGTGTATATGTTGGACATTCATATTTAAGGCAGAGGTTGATCTTGCCAGGGTTTTTGGACAACCATCTCCTTGCATATTTCTAATGATAATTGCAGTGATGGGAAGTGAGTATGTCTATGGCAGCTCCAGTGGAAGAAGAAATGCAGTGTTCCGTCAGCGCTCAGTTTTATCAGCTGAGATGGCAAAGACAGAGTTTGGAATTCCAGAGATGTCCAGAGTATCTCTGATACCTAGGGAACAGCTGGGGACAATGTTGATCATGCCAGCTGTGACTGTGGCAGCAAGACTATTTTAGTATTTCGTATTCCTTGCAAAATAATTCTCAAGATGTTACCATTTCACTCTGAACTGAGCTTTCAAAGCCCCAGATGATAGAAAGTTGGTCAACAAGTTTCACTGAGGTGAGACGTCCAGGTGCTAATTGTTTATCTCCAGTCAAAAGCAGTGTAATTTGGGAGTGATAAACAGTAATTCCTTTTAGTTACATAGGGTTTTTGTAACTATTTCATATAAGTCTTCCAGCAATCCCATCTGGAACACAGGAAACAGAGGGATGCATTTTCCACAGGCCACAGCAGGAAGAAAAATGAGATTGTTTAAAAAAATGTATAGATTTGGTGAATTTCTGGCATTTCGCTATTGTGAGTAGCTTCTGTTTTCCTTCATGATGCACCGTAGTGTTACTCATTGCATAGCCAACGGTTCATGGAGTTATTCTCACCAGGACTTCGGCAGTGAGGCAAACTAGCTGTAACTACTGCCCAGCATGGGCTTCATTAAGTTTCTTCCTTAGTTATCGATAAAATTATGTGATGTCTGAGAACATCATGTAATTGTTTGAGAATTAAAAGTAATCTGAGGGTAGGGAGAAGGAGTCGTGGTTTAGGTGAAACAAGATTGGCCGTGAGTTGATAACTGCTGAAGCCAGGTGGTGGTAAATGGGGTCCATTATATCCTTCTGTTAAAATATTCCATAATAAAAGGCTAAAAAATGTCATAAAGTCCCCTAATCAAAAAAAAAAAAAGTCCTGTCTTATGTATTGTCAGAAAGTACATTGCTTCTCAGAGTGTGGGGCTCTGGTCCGTTTCCAGCACGGCCTTTCGCACTTCCTTTAGAGAATAGGACATTGCAGGTGTCACTGCTGAGATAGTGACAATGGGGAACACACGCTTGACTCGTTTTACAGAAATCTACACGGACTTGCACGCATCCTTGTGTGCACCTGTTCGCATATTTGCTGGGATTAGGCCACAGTGGAGAGCTGACCCCAGGAGAGAACTTGGTTGGCTGGCAAATCTGAGGCGTCAAGCTCCTGCTCCTGGATCAAAAACACTGACCCTATATATAGTCATGGTGCCAGACTAAGTTGATAGGATAGAATATTTTGCTTCAAAAAAAAAAAAATTAAAAACTGGCTTCAGAATTCTACAGCAGGGTGTTTAAATCCCCTACTTTGAGTAACTGAACCATGACTTTAATGAAGGTACTTAAACATTTATAAAGTGAGGGTGATAATAGCATCCCAATATAGGGATATTCTCATAGTTAGATGAAATAAAAATGTCTAAAGTGCCTCGTGGAGCTCCTGGCACAATAATGCCCTCCAAAAAAGTGATCACTGTGAGTACCAACAGCCCTGTGCAGGCGCTAGTCCACCAAAGGCAAATTATGGGAGATAATGCCAGCCTGAGCTGTGTTCTCATGAGGGCTCTGCATAATAGAACCCCGTGCCAGTATGAGGTCACTCCGGAGGCCTGTAGGGAAGGCTTTGGCTTTGAAGTTGTGTGGACCCGACTTTCCTGTAAACCCTGCGTGTGTCAGGAACCCCTCAGGTTCTCCTCATCCTCTGCTGTATGACAACTAAGGGGCTGGTGGAGAGGCGGCACAGTCCTTTCCTAAGACTTCCAAACCACGGACTCCTTAATAGACTTCAGGGGGCAGGCTTTCCCCAGTATATGCAAAATCATGGGTATATGCGTTTTTCCAGAGATAAATAGCTTCCTGGCTTTCATTAAATTCTCAAAAAGCTTCTTTATTACCTGGGTAAAGTTAGGAACCTCTGCTCTTAGTAATCTGGGTCTTGGAATATGGATTAGAATTTTTTTAAATGGAAAGAATATTTTAAAAATTTCAATCTGGTAGCAATCATAAATACATTTTCTCGAATACATATTTCCTGTTTGTGTTCTTTTGGTCACTCATTTGCCAGGAAGAATGCCTTTGCGTAAATTCTGATAAACTCAGAGGATTTTTCTGATGAGCACACTGACTATAAAGTCAGAATAGACTCTCAAGAACATTTGTTTGGAAAGTTCTTTTTATAAAAGCAAGTCAGAAAATGGATTTCCACAATGTGTTTAACAGTTACGAGCTCTGATTTCTAAGAGTTGTTTGGTTCTTTTTTTGTCAAGGAACTTCAGAGTTCAAGGAATAGTTGGTGTGCCAAAGTGTTTACCTGTTCTTGATTTTCCAGTTGCTACTAAATTATATCTAGAAAATACTGGCGGCCATTACCTGGTCAGATTACTTATAAGTAGGTTGTTTTTTGTTTTGTTTTAAGAATTGCAAACAGTACTTCAGAGAACATGGTGTGAGCCCTCCCTTGCCCCATTTTCTGTTTTAGCAACGTGTATAGGTTTAGATGTGAAGGAGCAGTCATGGATTTGCAGTGTCCCAAAGCCAAATTTCAGAATTACCAACACAGCTAACAAGAGGGATAGAAGGATAATAATTAACAGCTTTAGGTTAGTTCTGTAAAAAATACATTTTTTTTCTATTGAAAAAATAGCAACATAACAGAACTTGGCACTCATTATTTTATTGAAGGTCTCAAGTCGGGGTAACAGAATTGCGAGTTCTTTCAGATACTAGGACATTAGAAATAAGGTTAGGAAATGTTGAGGTGAGGCCACTTGGGGTAGTGGGAACGTTTCTGGCCCCTGTTGAAAGGCTTTGGAGCATAGGAGGGAACAGTTTGGGATAATGTAAGGAGACCGCCCGCCTGGTCTAGGTGGCAGCAGCGATGAAGAGGAGCCGGCCGTCCAAACAAATGAGGTCTTACACGGGAGTCAGCGTGTGGCGAGCAAAGATGTGACCGGACAGCTGATTGGCTGTGCTCAGTGAGGGACTCATCCAATCCAGTAGCAGTGCCTTCTAGCCAAAGGTAGTAAAACCTTTGGACTTCGTCTCTCTGTGGGAAAACCCACGTTTTTGTTCCTCTTTACATATAAAAAACACTCATGACTGTACTCATGATTTCATTGGAAATTCCTTACTCTTCTTATTCAGCAGCAACAAAGGAACCGAGTCTTGCTTTAAACTACTTGGTTTTGCTCATTGCTGAAAACGTGTGCCTAGAGCTCTTTTGTTACCATAGTAGCTGAGATGCATTTTTCCTGGTAAGACAGAGGTGGTGGGATGGCATCCACCAGAGCCAACAGTCAGGCTTCCGGAGTGCCTGGTTCCAGAAGAAGGTGGAGCAAACCCTGGTGGCCGAGCCACAGATCTGGCTGGCAGCTGGGAAAACGATGCATCCTTTCACGCCTTCTGTCAAATAAAGCATTTTTACATAAGCTGATTTCCACCAGAGGCTAAAAAGAGATCCCTCTCAGAAACTGAAAGAATCTTGTTATTCCTTCCATATGGCATGCACACTCTTATTCTAAATTACCTCAGTCTGGAAGCCCCAGCAGACATTTTCATTGTAATCAAATGCAATACAACACAGAAATGGTGTCTTCAGTCGAACAGTGAGTTTTATATTATGCAAGAAGTACAGGTGGAGACCAATAACTCACTGGATGCATATGAAGACCTTTAGAGTTGGGGAGGAGGAGAGAAGCAGAAAAGATCTGGCACCAGTGATGCATTCTTGTTTTGGGTCGTCCACCTGACATTTTCTATGATTGCATGTCACTACAAAATTGTGCATTTCATACAGGCAAACAAATTTATTATGTTTTATAAAGTCAGTCTAATAGCCTGTTAGATTCATATGCAAACACTGGAATATAACCAGATACAGTTAGGACTTCTTAAGTATCTTTTGTTGACATTGACTAGAAAACTGTGACTAGCACAGTAGTAACCACAATCTATTTTAACTACTACTTTAAATTAAATGTTCCATTTTGGTTATCTATGTTGGCTCTTTGGGTCTCCTACTGAAAGAATAATTCTGCTAGTGAAATGTTGACTTCTTTCCATATTTAGAAATAGCTCCCTGATGTTTTGGTTTTAGAG